GCACTAAGTACAATTTAATTAAAAAAATTTTTTATCAAAAAATTTTTAAATTATTTTTTATTATATTATTTATTGTATTATATTATTATATTATTTATTTTATTATATTATTGTATTATATTATTATTTTTTGACTGTAATATTATTTTAAAAATATTAAAATATTTCTATTTCACTTAAAATTTAAAAAAATCATAATTATAAATGAATGTATTTTTTTTTTTTCTAATCAAAAATAGATAAACCAAACACGGATAGAAATATCTTCTTCCACGAGACATCCTGTTTTGATGAAAACGGTTTAATGTTAAACGCTCGCCAAGCATGCGCCGTCGAATCCGCAGCTAAAATGAATCCTGATATGAACATATATTTATTATTCCTTTCTTCTTCAAAGATTTCGAGACAATTCAGAAGATTATTCAAACAATTGCAAACATATCCGAATATTCATATCAGATGTATCAAATCCGAAGATTATATGAAGAATACACCTCTGGATGTATGGTATAAAATCGAAATATTAAAGAAAAATAAATGGCCAATTAATCATATGATATTTTAAGATATCTGACCCTTTGGAAATATGGAGGAATATATTTGAATCTAGACATTATTGTCATCAAGTAAGCGCATTTTCATATACATTGCAATTTATTGATAAATTTAAGTATACTGTATTCATATATAACAAATTATATATTCTATATTATATAGGATGTCCCAAAAATTTTTGAATATCCGTAAACTAAAAATTCCTGAGATAATTTCAAACAACATTTTTTTTTGCAAAAGCTTTTGTTAACGAATTATTAATAAAAAACATTGGCTAATTACGAAGCCCGTAGCGAACTGTGACAATCATATTAGTTACACGCCGATTAAACAAGAACAAGTTCAAGCAGTATATTAAAGAAAATGTGTTAAATATTATATTTATTTATTTATTCATTGACATAATTCGATATAAAATATCGATAAAAAAATATTTGTTATATTCAATATATTTTCTTCGAAATATATTACTTATTCTTGCATTGTTCATAGCACGTTACTATGTCAATATTACACAGTACGCTTCGTGATTAGTCAGTGTTTTTCGGTAATTCTTCATTAATAAAGTTGTAACGAAAGTATTTGCAAAGAAAAATGTTGCTTAAAATTACTTCAAGAAATCTCCAATTTACAAATGTTCCAACATCCTGTATAATTCACTATTCGTTTAACTATTCTTAAAAAACTATTCTTAAAGGAAAACGACTGGTTTGGAATCAATCAATAATTCGATATTTTACTAGTATTTAAACATAATTAATTTAAAGAAAAATTGAATTTCTATAATTTTGATTTTTCTTTTATAAAAATATTATATTTGTATATTTTTTCTAATAAAAATTAAATATGAAATGATTTTAATTTATTATTAATAATTTCGAATAATAATTTAAAAATAATTATTTTAAAATAAAATATATATTATTAAATAAATAATATATTTTAATTGAGATTATATTCTTAGCCAATTAAAAAAATTTAAAATAAGATGAATATTTGAGAAAATATTAAATTAAAGAATTAATTATTCGAGAAAATAATTTTTATTTTAAAATTATTGTAAAAAAACTATATATATTAATATTTTCTTAACTTACTAGCATTATAAAATTATAATAAGTATTATAAAAGTAATACAAATTAAAATAAATTAAATTAAATTCAAACTATCAAATTTTAATTCATAGATTTTTTTTTATATTTTCAATGAT